TCCTCCTCGATCCTCGATCCTGCTCCTCGATCCTCGATCCTCCTTCTCGATCCTCGATCATCCTCCTCGATCCTCCTCGTCGTCGTCGTCGTCGTCGTCGTAGTTGTCATCGTCGTCGTCCTCGTCGTCGTCATCGTCGTCGTCATCGTCGTCGTCGTCGTCGTCGTCGCCTTCTTCCATCTTCAGTCGTGGTCGTCGTCGTCGTCGTCGTCGTCGTCGTCGTCGTCGTCGTCGTCGTCCTGGTCCCTGTCTTTTTCGTCGTCTTCAGTCTTCCGTTGTGATCGTCTGTCGTCGTCGTCGTTGTCGTCGTATTCTCTGGCGCCGTTGTTTTCGCAGTCGTGGGTCGTCGGTCGCAGGCGGTCGTCGTCGTCGTCGTCGTCGTCGCCGGGCCGCAGCGAGGCGCCGCGCTGGACTTGGCCGGGGGCGCGTACCTCATCTCCGCGCCCCTAGTCGTGCCAGGCGCGCTTGGCGCGCCCGCCCTCGACGCCCGTGGCTCCCAGCGCGGCGCTGTGGTCCTACCCTATGCAGGGTGGTCCGAGATACGAAGATTGAGGTCGGTTCGGGGCGGGCACCCTGGCGTGCTTCGTGTTTGTTGGGTGTTCTTGTGTATCCTCCGGGCGGGTGCCCTCGAATGTTCTCCAGTTTTGGCTGGCGGAGGGTCTCATGTTCTCGAAAGATGTTCTCTGGGCTAGGTCTGACTGTAAGAGCGCCCAGATGAGGTCCGAGCAGATGGGGTCGAAGGATGTACCGCATTGCCGACTTGAAGCCAAATTTCCGCCACGCTGACGTCGCTGATGCATCGTCCACGTGGCCGATGCGGTGTCGGTACATGGGCGGAGGTGGAGGAGGATGAGGAGGAGAGGCAATCGCATTGGACGAAGCGTCAAGGGAGGTTGCCGCTCTACTTTCTCAACCGAGACAAACGGCTGGCATTTCGGTGTGTTGAGACTGCCACGAACAGAACATCACATAACACAGGAGGATGATGAGGAGGAGGAGGAGGTATTTCTGCTGGACTTCCAGGTCCCAATCTACTGCAAGCGCCTTCTTACTTTAATAATCGATGTGCTTTGGCTGTGTTTTTGTGATTCTCTGGGAGGGCCTGGACCCAATCTACTTCATCCGCCTTCCTACATGTTTTTACCTACCTCTTCCGACCGACGTGTATCTGCACTCTTCGAGGAGGGACCTTGCTCTCAGAGTGATCGTGCAGTGCAGTCGTCGGCGTCGGCGTCGGCGTCGGCGTTGGCGTCGGCGTCGTCGTCGTCCTCCACGGCGCAGGGCACGTGGGCAACCTGCACCTGCGCCAGGGCACGCTGCGGGCGTCTCCCAGGCGGCGGCGGCGCGCCGTGCGCAGGAGACCCTGACGTCCAGCGCCCTTGGCAGCACACATCAAGACGGACGTTTTTTTTGTGCTCGTTTCGGTGACTCGGGGCCGTTTCCGTGCCCCTGGGCCGAGGCGTCCCAGGGCGAGAGGCCTGCCAGAGGGGAAGGGGGGCGCCGCTTCCAGGGTCCCCGTGTTGGGGAGTTAAGACGTCGGGGGGAGGCAGGGGGAAGAGGAGGATGATGATGAGGAAGGAGTCCAGAGGAACGTGGAGGAGGAGGAGGAGGAGGAGGAGGAGGAGGAAGCGACCGAAGAGGTTCGACGGAATGAGGGTGTAGTGGTTGACGACGATGATGGAGGAGGAGGAGGAGGAGGGAGGCGAATGGAGAGGGAGGGGGTATGAGCAAAAGGAGGATTACTGACCAGGAGGAGGAGGATGAGGAGGAGGAGGAGGAGAAGGAGGAGGAAGACTTGAAGTAGGACCAGGAGAGGCAGGAGGAAGCCGGAGGATGAGCGAGAGGGGGATATGACAAGCTAGGTGCGCTCGCGCCACACATATCATACTACCCCTCACAACCATCCCTTCTCAATGCGCTGATGTTTTCTCTATCTTCCAACGGGTTTCATAGCGTACCCAGAGCACCTAAACGAACCCATCGTGTTACGCGCAATCTGAACGGATGGGTCTTTGTACTGGAGGAGGAGGTGGTGGATGAGCAGTGGGAGGAGCAGGAGGAAGATGATACTGACGAGGAAGGACCAGGGTAAACCGAAGATGCATCAGCGATACTGCAATACACCCTCCGGGTTTCTTCTTCATAGGTCCCTACCAGAGTGTGGTTCCAACGCGGGATAGCCCGATTGGAAGACAAACGTCTGAGAATCCTCAATCGTGTCAGAACGCCATTTCTGGGTTTTCAGCGCCGCGAATCAACGTGACTGTTGCTTTCTGACAATGCTAAACCGTGCCAGATCACCATTCCTGGGCTCTCACCACTGGGAATGAACGTGCCTGTTGCGCTCTGTCAATCATGAATCGTGCCAGAGCATTAATCCTGGGACATCAGCCATACGAGTCTTTGAATATGTTGCAACGTTTCAAGACGAATGCGAGAGCCTTCGTTTGAAAAGGGACCGACCTCCATATTTGAATCAGTGACATTTTGTACTGCGAATGTGCGTGGCCCTAAGGCGAGGGCTACTTTTTGAAAACGATCTGCCCTGCATCAGTGAAACTGCTGCAAGCTTTTGAGACGACTGTGCTCGGCGCAAAGGCGAGAGCCACGGTTTGAAAACGATTGCCCTCCATCCGTGAAGCTGTTGCGAACTTTGAAGACGAATCTGCGCGGCGCTCAGGCGAGAGCTACATTAAAAAAGCACTCGCCCTCCATCCGTGAAGTTGCTGCAATTTTTCATTCAATTAGGGACCCACCTGGGGGCCTCTTTTGGGCCTCTTCGGGCCTCTTGGGAGTTTTTTTGGCGCCTGCTGGCGGTCTCTGTGGTCCTCTTGAGGCGGAGGGCTCGGAATGTCAGTTCGAGTTACCTCTCTTGGGCCTCTCTAGGGGCTCCCTCGGCCATCTTGGGCGCCTCCTGGGCCGTCTTGCGACTTTCTTCGGCTGTCCCAGGGCCCTCTTGGGGGCTTCTTGGGCCGTCTTGGAGCGATCATGGGGGCCTCTTGAGCCGTCTTGGACGCGGTTGATACCAAACATGAGAATATGTTCAAAGTACACGTTTTTTTTTCTATGGGATTTTGACGATTCTTGCTTCTTGGGGCCCTCTCGGGAGTCGTCTTGGAGCCCTCTTGGGGCGACTTTGAGGCCTCTTGGGCTTTCGTCGTCTTCGAGAACTCCTGTGCGTGTTGGAGCCCTGCTTGAGCAAGCGTAGATCGATTCTACGCATCTAGGAGGCCACGGAGTGTAGAAATGAAGGCTCCAGAGGCCCCTGGGGAGCGTTGGTGAGCTCGGGACCCCCCTTGTAATCGGATTTCAGACCTCAGGGGAGGGGGAAAGAGGGAGTTCGACAGTCAATCATCTCACACGCCTTTGCATCCCTGTAAGCGTGGGTCGGCGGACTACGAGTGTGCGCGCCGCTAAGGCGAGAGCCACATTCTGAAAACGACCCGACCTCCATCCGTAAAACGGCTGCAAACATTTCGGACGAGTGTGCGCGGGTGCGCGGCGCTAAGGCGAGAACCACCTTTTGAAAACCAACCGCCATCCGTGAAGTTCTTGCGTATTTCAAGCTTCAGGGTCATAAGTGGCGAGGAGTTTTCAGGCGATACGCCCGACCTGCCCTGCTGACATGTCTGGGGGTTCGACACGGAGGCGTTCTCTGTAAGGAAAGGGGACTGGGCACGAAGAGGAACTGCAGCAGTTGGAGCGGGGGGACGTGGAGGAGGAGGAGGAGGAGGAGGAGGAGGAGGAGGAGGAGGAGGAGGAGGAGGAGGAGGAGGAGGAGAGGAGGAAGAGTGCGGTAGGAGGAGGAGGAGGAGGAGGAGGAGGAGGAGGAGGAGGAGGAGGAGGAGGCGCAAAGGGGAAGGCGGAGGCAGGGACAGGATGGGGGCGACCACGATGAGGAAGCGCTCGGATCCAAGAGTGTGGCGCACGCTGGAGCGAGAACGTCAGTGGGGAGCGACGGGGGCAGGGCGCCGATCCTACGCTTCAGGCCAGCGCTGCAGCTGGGGAAGGGACCGAGAGTGTTCGGACCGGGCAAGCGCACATTAAACGGAAGCCACCATTTTCCTGCCTACCCTAGGGGAATGACAGAACCATCAAAACTCGGAGGTCTGCGCGGATTGTTCGGATCGGCGCTGGACCCCCGTTCCTGGCGCGCGTAGCGCGCCAGGGGCGGCGCTGGAGGCGCCGCCAGTGGGGTCCAGTGCGGATCCGAGAAATCTGCGCGGATCTCCGAGTTTTTATGTTTATATTATTCTTCGTTTACCTAAATATTGAGACCAACGCTGTAGCGGGGGCAACATTTTCAGGAAGGACCGAGAACGTGCGGATCTTGCAAATACACCACCGAAGAAGGACACATTCCTGCTTATACGCCGCGCGTAAAACATTAATACATTGGGGGGGGGGCGCGCTCGGGGGATAGAAAAGAAGAGCAGTACTGATGACGCACAACTGTGAAGGAGGAGGAGGAGGAATGCGCCGACCAGGAGGAAGAGAAGGAGAAGGAGGTAGATGAGAAGCATAACGATGATGATGATGATGATGATGATGACGATGATGATGATGATGATGATGATGATGATGATGATGATGATGATGATGATGATGATGATGATGATGATGATGATGATGATGATGATGATGATGATGATGATGATGATGATGATGATGATGATGATGATGATGATGATGATGATGTGCGCCGCTGGATCTCCCCAAGGGGGTGGGGGGGGGTTGGGACCCTCCCCCCTTTCCCCGATCCGTCGTCGGGGAACCCCCCTTTCCCGATCCGTCGGGGAACCCCTCCCCCCCTTCCCCTCCTTCCCCGATCCGCGTCGGGAATTCGACCCCCCCCCCCTCCCCCTCTTTGGCCACGGCGCCCCCGGGCTCCGGATCCCTACCCCTACCACCTCTAACGCTATTCCTCACCCTTACCCTAAGCTCCAACCCTAACCCCGAACCCTAACCCTAGGCCCAAGCAGTACTCACTACTCATAACTCATTACTCACTACCCACTAGTCACTACTCGCTACTCGCTACTCACTTCTCACTACTCACTACTCACTACTCACGACTCACTACTCACTACCCACTACTCACTGCCCACTACCCACTTCTCACTACTCCCTACTCCCTACTCACTACTCACTACTCACTATCACAACTCACTACCCACTACGCACTAACCAGTACTCAGTACTCACTACTCACTACCCAGTACTCAATACTCACTACTCACTAAACACGACTCACTGCCCAGTACTCACAGTTCACTACTCACTATTCATTGCCCACAACTCACTACTCATCATCCGCTGCTCGCTACTCGCTACCCCCTACTCCCTACAGAGTACTCACTGCTCACTACCCACTACTCACTACTCGCTGCTCCCTACTCCCTACTCGCTACCCCCCACTAGTCACTAGTCACGAGTCGCTACGCTACTCACTACCCACTATTCAGTACTCACTACTCACTACTCACTACTCACGACTCACTACCCAGCAATATTCACTACCCACTATGCACTACTCGCTACTCACAACCCACTACTTCCTGCTCCCTACCCCCTTCTCGCTAGGTCACTAGTCACAAGTCTCTACTCACTACTCACTACCAGTACCCACTTCGCACAACTCAAGACTCACTACTCATTCCTCCCCACTCACTACTCGCTACTCCCTACGCACTATCCACTGCCCAATACTCAATACCCACTTTTCACTTTTCATTACTCACTACTCACTAGTCCGTATTCTCTACTCACGACTCTCTATTCACTACTCCCTACTCACTACTCGCTACTGCCTACTCGCTACTCACTACTGACTACTCCCTCCTCACTACTCACTACTCACAGTGCCCTGTTAGCGACTCACTATTCACTACTCGCTACTCCCTACTCGCTACGCACTACTCACTACCCACTCCCCACTACCCACTATTCACTACTCACTACTCACTACTCACTACTCACTGCGTACTACTCACTACTCACTCCTCACTCCTCACTACTCGCTACTCACTACTCACTATTCACTATTCACTAATCACTACGCCCTACACTACTCACTACTCTACTCACTACTATCTACTCACTATTCACTACTCACTATCCCGAGGCCAGACCCTCCCCCCCTTGCTGGAGAGGCCCTCTCTTCGGCGCAACGGGGGGAGGGGGGGGTGGGGGTTCGAACCCCTCCTCCCCTTTTCCAGCGCCAAGGGGGGGACGGGGGGGGGGGGGTCTGGACCCCCCTCCCCCTCCTTCAGGGGGGGGGGGGGGGGGGAGGGTGGATGGGGGGGGGGGGGGTTCGGACCCCTCCCCTTAAGG